AAGCCCAGTAGGAGCAAACGCTGCTTGTTCGCGTAGCTTGCCTCGTCATCAGCTTTACCATGCGACGCATCGCCAAGATCTGAACAGCGCATATGGGGGGGTATGATTTGAAGTGCGTAGCGGAGCAGCGTAACAATGCATGGGTTCGTGTTTTTTTTCTCTCAATGATCTGCTACGGTAGGTTAGTAGGTACTATGTAGGATGTAGGTAGGCAGGTCGGCAGGTTAGGTAGGTTAGGTAGGCTAGGCAGACTAGGTAGACCAGGTAAGCCAGGTAAGTAAGTAAATAAGTAGCCCAGGTTTTCTTTTGTTTCCTATCTCGTCGGTCTGCTTCTGCTTCGCTCTGTACAGCCTCTCTTTTCGATTCCTGCGAGCTGCCCATTTGGAAAGGCGGCAGATCGGGGCGCTAATGAAAAGACTGAGATCGATGGAACGGGACCAAGCTGAATGTGTCGAACCAGAAGTGAGCAACTCCCACCCCCCCGGCCACATCCACACCCCCATTACATGTTGCCGTATAATGTAAGTACGGAGTACGTAGCAAGGTACTACGCAAAGCAGTACACACTCCAGTAGTGTACTGTACAGCAGTAGGCGTCGCAATCTCGAATACCTGTGGCCTATCAAATAGATCGGTTCTCGGAGATATACATGCATGCAGGTGGGGAGTTGAAATTGGACATGAATGAAAACCGATCCATCAATAGCCGAATTTTGTGATTCCGGGCGCATAAATGCCATTGACATGCCAATCTTGGGATCATGGTACATAGTGAGGAATTATTGGCAGTGCCCGCTTCTCGACGACTCGGTCAAATTTCGGGTACGTACCTGGCGCTGAGAGGTATGGATGGATGAGTAGATGTACACTATATACATATACATAGGATCTATGAATGTACGTACATAGTAGATTGGTACTTAGTAGTTTATACTATGTAGAGAGTCTGAGGTAGTAGCCGTAAATCTGCCTTCTCACCGCATAGTATATGGTATTCTCCGATCAACCAATCCCGTCCCACATGCAGAGTCGCGGGGTAAGTGGCCTGTCCTGTGCGCTGGGGGGTAGAGAGAGATAGACACAGATAGACAGACAGACAGAGAAAGGGGGGTTGAATGCGGAACCGGTAGCTAGCCCTCTCCTCTCCCTCTCCCTTCACTACCAGAATAGCAGCGTAGGACGGGACGTGCGGGGCCCCTCGAAAGCCCAAAACCGGTTATTCAAGGCTCATCCTTACTACTTGTAGCGAGGAAGCAAATGCACGACTAGGCGTAACGGCGATATGATGGGAGCCAAGACACAGTACCAGCGCGTAGAATGGGCCATGGTGCTGGCTGGGTACCTAGCCTAACCTCCATGCAGCGTCGAGACAAATAGAATGTTGTCACCGTTCTGGATCTCATAGGCCTCCTCTCCCTCCAACTCCCAGTCGGCGTCGTTGATCAGAACCAGGATACCTGGTCGTCTGTATAACCCGGTCAGTCGGGTCTAGCTTTCACATGCCTCCTTGCAGCGTTCTCGGTCGGTGAGCTGGTGAAGAGATTCGACCACAATCAAAACATTGGACCCCTGCCGCCGCCGCCCAACTGGACGGCGACCTATCCATCCTACAGTCTCCGAAGCGAGTGGGGGGCGGCATCGGTGAAGAGGCGCCAGGGACAACTCACAGGTGATCGTCGAGGACGAATAACTCCTTTCGCGCATCCTCCATTGTCTTTTCACATAGGTACTCTATGAGATAAGCGACGGTCACGGGCTTGTTGTTTTTGTCGTGTGCCGGTATGGAGAGCGCATGCCGGCGCTGATCTGAGAACAGCATCTCCAACCCGCCACTAAGAATTATATACCGGATCAGCAATGACGAGGCCAAGCGCATCAGAAATAGCAGCAACAGGACCGTACGTGAACTCAACCATGACGGACAATGTGGGGGCATCGGCGTCGGCGTCGGCATTTTTGGACGGGCTATCCGTTACCGTGACTTCGGTTGTTGTCGCCATTGCTACCACTATAGCTACTTCCCGGATAGATATATAGCTTGAGAAACCGAGGGCAGTAACCCAGGATAGGAATCAAGGATCAAAAAGGTTGGTTGGTTGGTTGTTGCTGGTTCTCGTCGTTGGGCTCAGGATTCACATGCTCAATACCTAAAGAGTAAAGAATGCCATTTTGTTGTTGTTAGTTACATGTATTTATTACCCGCATATATATATATGCAGATACAGGTAAGATGTATCTACCTAGATAAGATATCTATAGCGGTAATCACATAACAACGGCTTTTTTTATGGGTCGTCTTGTACGTCAGGCTACATACTAGCATATAGCATCTATCTACTGATAGTATCTATCGTAAGCACTCTCTCCATCAGAAACGTTTCCCGCTCTCTCAACTCAAGATAATGTAATGTAATTACCTAGCCGACTTTCGTTGTTGAAAACCCGTCTATCTCTATGACACGCCACCATGCGGGCCTCTCTCCCGCCTCCGTCGAGACCATTGCTGGCCTTTCCGCAGGTTCTGTCGCTACTCTGGTTGTGCATCCTTTGGATATCGTGAAAACTCGCATGCAAAGTATGTCACACTCCCCCCAACCCTTCTATCATCTTTGTCGTCGCCTGACGTTCGAGGGGGGAGGGAAAAAGTCCACCGCAGCAATGCCGCGACTTCTTACGCTTTGACCACTCTCTCGGTAATTCGTGGTTTGACGAGGACGCCACATCCCGTCGCCGCCCTCTACCGGGGTCTGACGCCAAACCTGCTTGGAAACGCCTCCAGTTGGGCCTCCTTCTTCTTCTTCAAAGCCCAGGCCGAAAGCATCATCTTGGCCATCAAGGACTCACCGCCCGCCGACCATGTGGCCGCGCTCACACCCCAGGATTACTTCGTCGCGTCCGGCGTAGCGGGCATGTTCACTCAGGTCCTCACTAATCCCATCTGGGTTCTGAAGACGCGGATGCTATCTTCCGACCGTGGCGCGGCTGGCGCATATCCGAGCATGTGGGCAGGCGCTGCACAACTCCTGCAGGCCGAGGGCTGGAGGGGCTTTTACCGTGGCCTAGGAATCAGCCTCTTCGGCGTTTCCCACGGAGCCGTCCAATTCACCGTCTACGACCCATTGAAACAGATGTACATCAAGAGACGGCAGAAGCTCGCCGAAAGGACAGATCGCCCGAACGATCATGGAAAGCAGTGGATGACCAACGAGGCCACACTCGTCATTTCGAGCGTGTCCAAGCTAGTGGCGGGCGCAGTTACATACCCGTATCAAGTCATCCGAAGCCGTCTTCAGAATTACGACGCTGACGAACGCTTCGGACGGGGTATCCGAGGCGTTGCGAGAAGGACGTGGAGGGAAGAAGGCTGGCGGGGCTTCTACCGTGGCATCATCCCCGGTGTAGTGAGAGTCATGCCCGCAACATGGGCCACGTTTCTCGTGTATGAGAACATTAAATTTTACCTCCCCAGGTGGGCGAGCGATCCGAGCATGGATCGGTAGAGTTTGCCTCTGCTTTCTATTTTACATAGACCAACCATAGAGATAGATGTATTGTATATTAATTTCCCTATTGTGTTATCTTTAGACCTGTGATAGCCACGTATTTCTCGGGGTACATTCCCCGTATATGGTGTTCCTGGTCGATCCCTGTTTCCGTTTGGTCGCGTTAGGTCTCACCTTGGTCTTCCCCGTCGCCATGGTGTATTTATTTAGATTGACATTACTAATACTAATATTGAGGTTGCTTAAACTTATAGCGACTCCAATCGTTTTAATTGAATCTCTAGCAATCGATATGCCGCTACCCAAAACGTGTTAACGATACGGTTTGCGAACTCACCAGTACGTTTGTACTAGGCAAAGTAGATAGCGCGGAGCTTTCCTCTGCGATTGACTTCACTGAGTTACTAGCCGAGGCTTACGAGACGGTTTGTCAAAGTATAGCCGTGGATTGTCGGTCCAGCCGTCGAGTTCTGGCCGCGACCGGAAAGACTATCCAATATCAAAACAGCGTATAACAACTCCTTTGGATGATAAGTGAAGCAAGCACACCGAAATCACGAGCTACAGTGGCCTTGCTAACATTCCTACAAAGCTTTCTGTTCAATCACACATTAGACTTTGACATATTCTACGTAGCATCCAGAGATATGTTTCTCCAGGCGTCTTGTATCCGGGTTTCTAAAGACTAGGTTACCAAGATGATGAACTGTTCAATCACCCCACCAGCCTGCACCGGCTATGATGAAGGATACAACCAACAGTTGGATATGAACTATTTGATAGCTGGTCGGGCAGCCTCCGTACTACAATTCTATCCAGAGTCGAACCGAAGGCCTCCGTTATCAGCTATGGGTTACGAGCGACAGCGTTATATTTGCACTCCGACCTAGACATCACATCCCAACCGAACGGACTGGCAAAGCTCTGTGGGTATAAGGAGCGTTCTATGGAAAGGTAACTATCTGGAGTGACTATCTACATATCCAAGATTGAAGTGAGTCTACGAACCTGAAGACTCTAAACAGTCCTGCTCAACCAAGGGAGTGAGAGCCATGGCGTTAGTCTTCATGAGCTTCTTCTCCTTTCCTTGTTTTACGTCTTGGTTACCAGTCTAACAAGGGAAGATCTCCTTTCATACAGTAAAGCGCTTTGGTTTTCCGTGGGCACCCGAATAATTGTTAACCAACAGCCTACTGCACAAAATGAAGCATAGACTCACTATTTGATTGCCTGCTTCATTACTCCCACCTAGCACACACTATACTGAGATAAAAGTCTTGATTGATTGACTTGTTTTACTATTGTTATTCCTTGATAAATGAAGCCTATATTAACTAAAATAAACAGGATATATACACATAAAGTTAAAATAAAAAAGGCAAAATGCTTAAAGTACTACAACAATAACTAATTAGGTTAGACTAGGTAGGCTAGGCTTTGGTACTGGAGAGGAACGTTATAACGCGATACAATTAGCTTTGTTGCAAAGTGCACCAAGCCCGATTGACGCAGTGGTAGCGTGCCGTTCTTATACTCTCTATCGCATGGTAGTTTGTATGATAAGATATGCGGAAGCCGTGAGTTCGACCCTCACATTGGGCAAAACACCAATTTTTTTCAATTCTTTTTTTTTCATTTACCCCTGAGACTTCCAAATCCTACAACCAACTCAGGAGCTAAAAAAATCATGCATAAGTAACCTAGGTTAGAAATATCATATATACAAGTAGTGTATATATATTATTCCATAGTCAAAGTAACCGGTTAATCCGTAGAAGGAGGCTAGTTGGACGCAGCTTCATTAAGAATGCCCTGTCATTGAGTATTAGATAACCACAATTTTACTGTACAATAACAAGTGACTGACTCCATGTTGCCTGGAAAGATTTACTTCCGTTATATACTGATGGGAGAATCCACCTCACCTATTTATTCTCCATGCTAAGAGATTCAAGTGTGTGAGTATATTCGTCCAGCCCCTCAATAAGAGTACTAGTTCTGTCCAAGTATCTCATTGCCTACTTCATTATACCGACCGAGCTCAAGCAGTCCAACTAGCCCGCACATAAAATATCACTCTCCCCCCCTTCCCTCACTAGAAAAGCAACAAGCGCCCGCGCAATCACACGAACTGGGTAGAGAAAGCATACGACTAAAAGCCCCCTCCCCCTCACAAAGCCAGGTTGTAACTATATTCGTCCTCCATATTCTGGCTAACCCATAGGACGACGGAAGAGAGGCCGACGAGGCCGTTGGCGACGATGTTCTCGACACCCATGCCCATCATAGGCCAGGCGACGTTCTGCACAGCAAACTTGAGGACGAAGATGACGACGCCGCCCGCCATGCCGCCGGCGAGGGCGGCGAAGCCGAGGAACAGCACGACGCGGGCCTTCCAGGCGACGCCCGAGCCCGAGTAGCTGAACGAATCGGCCGACAACCGCGCCTTCTCGACCGAGTTGATGATGAGCATGCCGAGCGAGCTGAAGATGAAGGGCAGCCAGTCGATGAAGGTGACGTGCACGTCCGACATGTTGAGCGGCGACTTCGACCACACGGCCGCGTCGATGAGAACGTAGAAGGCGAGGGAGAACTGTTGTACCGGCAGATCACAACGCTGCGAGTTAGCTATCGATTCCTCTTTTCGCGTCTACTTGAAGGGAGGGAACGAGGGGAGGGGCGGGGCGCGCGCTCGATGCGCACTCGACGCGCAAGGGTTCGAGTCGGGATGGGGAGAAACGCACCAGAGCACCGGCGGAGTATACGCCGGCATTGCGCGCCCAGGCGCTGTTAAGCCACGCTGGCTTGCCAAACTTCCAGAGGCGGTCCTCTTCCATAATGTCTGGGATGCGCTTCGGAATTGGGAGGTCGTAGGCGAAACTTTCACACACACACACAACGCTCTCTCTCTCTCACCCAGTGTGTATTTCTGTTCCTGGGAGAGTATCGCCGTATCTTTGTTGTCGAGGATGGAAAGGTGTAGGACGGGCAGGCGTTGAGCGGATAGGCGGGGATGGCAGCAGGGACGGCGGGGATGGCAGGACAGCAGGACGATGAGGCTAATGATCCGCTCGTTGAATAGATGGATGGATAGATGAAGGGAGTAGGATGGCGAGGTCGTGTCTGACTTGATTGAAGCTGATGACGCTTTAGTCTTGGCAGCCCTTTACCCCGGTCGGGAAGGACTGGACTGGACTGCCTGGCCAGCCGCCCAGCACCGGCCACTACGGCCAAAAAATCCACCTACTTAGGGAGAGCTTACAGTCACGTGATCGGATTCTGCACTTCGACAGGCAGGATATATAGTACCCAGATAGCTAACCCAGTAACTAGATAGGTAGTGTATAGGAGGTAGAACGTAGGTCATTTAATGCACTCATTCATTCATTTAGTACCTCAAGCACCTTGTGTACCTTGTATGTAAGTATGTAGACAGTAAGAGGTAGATAGGTAGGTAGGTAGGTAGGTAGTGAATATTGTAATGGTATTGGTGTAATTGCATTATATTTTGATCAACTGGAGCAATCCAATTACGTGTACCGCCACAGCACACTCATTCGCATGTCTACCTGTGTAGGCCGTCTCCGCAAGAATTGACTGTATAGATGTTGCTACCTCCGACGCCTACTTATGTGAGCCCCCATGACGACGAACCCGGAGCTACCCGGTTTAGATCTATTAACCTGCCCCATGATCGCAAAGCGCGAAAAGATAATAGAGAAGGGAAAAAATACTACTAACGCCCGGCCCCACCCCCCTTTGTACAGGTCGCCATTGAAGCGCTTCCTTAGCTAGGCCCGCTGGGTCGACACACCACTCCGAGTCGCGGAGCTACGAATATATGTTGCCAGCAGGTCGCCAAGTTTCGTGAAGTAAGCTAGACAAACATGGTTTTGGTACAGGAATAGAAAACCCACTCTGCATAGTCTTGGGTGTGTGTTTTTGGCTAGCCACGTTGAAATCCATCTCATGTTTCTAGGAATGATGCATGCAAGGGAAGGCATCTCCAAGCTCCCGCATGCTCCATGAATCCGAAACATTGTGGGAACACGCGGAGTCTCCGAGATACTGGCGGCGCTGTTGCGGGAACATGCGAGGATAATCCCAGAGACCATTGCAGGAGGATGCTCATGAAAGGTTTGCTAAATCCGACGCCTTGAACACCATCCTCTCGCTGGGTATGTATTGATCATGGGAACATAGGCTATCATTGCTTTTCGTCGTAGGATTCTCGTCAGATCTCTATAGTTTTCATCCCCCCTTCGATGTCGCTCGTGTGGCTGTTGATTAGATCTGTTTCCGTCTTGGACAACGGGGATTCCTTGCCTCTAGCCTCGGGCGTATTATCTTGCTTGGGAGCTGACTCGACGTCGTCATCTATTCTTGGAGTTTCGACTTCGACGAGCTTATCTTCTTTGATGCCATTCGTGACGAGTTTCGGCTCGGCATGGCCGGATTCTTCCGCGACTCTTGCAAGCGCACTAGGTTTCCCAAACCCAACCCGAGCGGGACTCACCAAGGGTGATGGACTGCTAAGTCGCTGTAATGACCTTCCACGTACGTCACCGTTGGCATCAACGGGGCCGGAGTAAGGAGAGCCTCCGGGAGACGCAATACTTCCTGGCACGCCAGATTTGCGCTTTGCGACGGTTTTCGCGGTACGCCCGTGCTTTTGGTCCATCCGCCAGCGCAGGATATCGAAATACGAGGGCTCAACCCGAGTAGTCTTAAACTCGCGCAGTTTGAGCTCGTTGGTATCTTCGTCGACAAACCATTTGCCGCTGTTCAAGTCATCCGCGAGGATAGCAAGGAAAGAGCCCCACGATCTAGCAACAACATACTTGGTATCGTAGTCTCGTCCAAACAAAATGATTTGCCCCCAAATACCAGTTGGGCCTGGTGCCAGGTCTACGGCCAGGTTATTTCCACCCCAATCTCGTACTAGTGGGATCCAGGCCGGGTGTGCATACGCTCGTTGGATGGCACCAGCGGGAACAGAATCTTGACGGGCTTGAAGATCTTGTCGCCAAGAGCTTTTCTGGGAACCCGGGGAGCCTGGCGCTGATCGAGAAGAGGATGCCTCACCGCTACCACCAAATACTTTGGAAGGAGCGGCCGGGTTCGCCGCTGAATTCTCGAGGAGATACTGTTGGTTAACTCTCCGCCATTGGTCCCATTCCTGTACCATTTCTTCGCAGTCGAGAAGCATCGAGGAAAAAATAATTCCAGTGGGGTTGCCACCGCGCTCCTGGCCATCGTGTACCATGAGAGAGTCTCTCAGGTCCTGGGGTAGTGAGCAGTCAAGTTGGTGCTCAAGCTCGGTCAAATCATTATCGGTGCAGCCCTCGCAAAGTTGGTCGAAAAGCTCTGGGTAGTTCTCTTCAGCCCATCGGTCTATGCGCTTCCATGAGTGGCTCACGGGAGGTGCCGGGGGGGCGCCATCCGCAAAGGATTGCATTTGAATGTCACCAGGACTGCTGACGGTTTCGAAACCATCATCCCTCAAGCTTTGCCTCTGAGCGTTCAAGGATCTCAGGCCCGGTGAGTAAGGACCGTTGGAGCCGGGTGAGAGTGGAGATGTAGCAGGTAGACCAGCACCCATATATGCAGTTCCGTCTGCCTGATTAGATAACCGACCTAACTCATCATGATATGGAGATGTGATATCAGCCCGAGATTCTGAAGCGGTGGCAACCGATGTTAATGTGCTTTGCCGATTCAAAGGCACGTGGCGACCTGTCCGATGGGGGGAATCATAGTTTGAGTCTGCATGCAATTCTTAGCGGCTTGATTCATGTTTTTTTCCCCTTTTATTTGGCCCCCCAAAAAATAAAAATAAAAAATAAAAAATTAGTGAGTCAAGATGGTAACATACGTCGGTCGTAACTGGTCATAGTATGCCAAAACGAACGGAAGGCCGACCCAAGATTGCTATTAGATCAAACGGTTAACGCTCATCCGAGCAACTATCCATCTCAGGGACTTACGCCATGTTGTCTTTGTTATGCCTGGTTGACTTGGTTCTTCTATACGATGCGCAGGATAAGGACTGTCGATTCGGAAAAGCGATTTGCCTTGGACAGTCTGGTGTCCCAGCCTATAGAGGACACGAACTGGAACGCGCAAACTGCCGGCAACAATGGTAGGAAACGCGAAGGCTGATGGGGATGGGCTTCTGACGCGTTGGTAGTGTCAAATCTGCCCCGTTAGATGCACGATGACGGATAGGTTTTTTTGCGCCAGGAGACACAAGATCGAGGGTGAAAAGGCGATGTGGAAGACGTTCTCTGGGAGAGCGGCTTGACTGTTATTCGTGCCGGGGGTGAGGGGTGGTCGGGAATCGAAATACGGTGGAATAGATGCCCTTCTCCTTTTTCTCTTTTTTTTTTTTTGCGATGTTACTACTACAGTCTTGTTTATTGTTTCATTGCTCGCTCAATTCCACAGGTTTGTTGTCATTAGATCCGGTTGGGGGACTGAAGGGAAGTGACGCTCGGAAGATAGTGTACGAGGGCACAAATAAGTGCTTGTTTCTCGGTGATTATTGGTGATTATTGGTGAATTAGCCAATCTCTCGTCGGACTTCGATTGCGCTGCAATGA